CACAGCAGGCTCGTAGACCATTCAGCCACTGGGACCCAACCCAGTTTATGAATTCTGCCGTCTACCAACTGGTAATTTTAGAGCGGCTGGCACTAGCTAATATCATCGCTGTGAAGTATTTTTTCTCACCTCCTGCCAGGTGGACCCATTTTTCACTATTCCTCACTAGAAATAACCTCAGGCAACTTCGTCCTGTAGCCAGCCAGTCACTAGTGAGCATCATATGAATTTTCAAAAGATAGTCTGTAGAGATTTTGTTCGTTTCAAGTTTGAACAGTTAGAGAAGCGTTTAAAAGTAGCACTATAGCACTAGACAGCTGTTTCGTCCTAGTTCAGGACTCATCCGCGATCGAACTCCAAAACGATTCGAATCCCTACATACTAACTGTTGAAAATTAAATACATACAGCAGCTTATCTCAAACCGAAGAATTAGAACGTCTCTGAACACATTTACAAAAAGTAGACTAAGTAAGTACACGACAAAAAGGAGAGAACAAAGAAAACTACAAAACTCAAGTTTTGAAGTCGTGCGATTATTTATTTTCCTTCACGTTCTCCAGTGGAACATACGGTTTCAAGCTTGTGGCTTGAAGTTTCTGTAGCAGTGTTTATTTTACAGGATGGGGTTGCTGCTGGCCTCATGACCAACCTTCTCTCTTTGCCAGTTCTATTTCTGACTTAGCGAGGTAAAGGAGTGCGTCGGCCGACGATCGAACCCCGGACTATGTGCATGGTCGGCGAGCGTCCTAACTGCTAAGCCACCGACGCCTGTGATTATAATTAATGAAATTAATTATGATGATCCCGTTAGATTTTTTATCCAAAAATTCTCTCTATTTATTTTGTTATTTCTACATTTCTAACCCTCAATTGCTACTTTATTTGAGTTTTATCCGTCCCCCCTCCCCCAGTTTATTATGGCATTTTAATTCCTAATTGTGATTTTATTAATTTGACCCTTTAGTGGAAATTATTCTGTAACTTTCCCACCCATTTATTATAAATACACGAATGTACAGCCTAGATGAAATGATTATGAACAATAAATGGTGTTCGAAACGTCATCCAGTAAATAATACTGTTTCATTGTGTGATACATCTAATAAACAAACTAATATGGAATTACTTACTACCACAGTACGCACGTTTTACACATATATTGTGTTGAGAACTAGCTGCTAGCCAAAGTTGGTAGACAGTAATTGACGTCAACGTTTATGTCCCCAATATTGGTGGTGAGAAAATGAGAACAAAGGCTTTGCGTAGGCGGATACAGTTAACATATGGATGATCTGACACAGCCACAAAGAGATGCAAGGTTAACTTTCTGTGAGAAACAACCACTAATCAAAAGACTGTATTTTCTACTAACAATAATCTACAATAATGTACATTAAAATCTATAAATATGTGATTTTCCTTAATAAACGATCTGTTGCCCTTGTCTTCTGTTGTTACAATGTTAATTTACATTGTCATTGATCATTTTTATTGACTTGGAATATGAACTTTCTTGTCATGTGATTTACTTTTTATTACCTGGTAAATTTCGTCTATAATAATAATGAGTGTTTGTTTTAATAATACATATATTTCCTATCTATGTTAACAGCTAATTTCGGATCAATCACCTGAGCTGCAAATCATCTCCATTATTATTTCAAAATCTCACAAGCGTGATCCGCTTCTATCTTGTATTTGTTAATTGCTGATTCATTTGAGTACCAGGCCTCTAGAAATTCTCTAGTATTTTTCGTGTGTAGTCAAACCTAGAAACCTGGAATCACTGCATAACAGTCCTTGATAGTTATTTTGAGGCAACCAAGTAGGGAGGTGTAGAGTGCCTAGTTGGGATGGTGGCGGGGGCTCCTCAAGATTCTAAGAACCAATGACTGGAGAGCAGCATTGGTGATATGGTTCAAAATCGTTCTCAATGGAGCAGATACATTTGTGGTGGTGTGATACAGACAATGTGTGCCAAGGGAATATTATTCTTACAATTCAATGCGACATTAGCAACAGAATACTAAATGTATTTGAATGAAGATTGTATTTCCCGTCGTTTAATGTTAACCGAAATCACACGATCAGTGATTGGTTAAAGAATATAAAATTATCAATAGGCGCGAAAGAGTTCAATTCTCCTCAAGTTTTCTGAAGCGATCAAGCGCCTGAAACCTGATTTATGCGTTCAGAAAGAAGCGGTTATCAGTCTTTCCTTGCCTTGCCTGGTAACTGGATATTTTCACCTCTCTTTCATCTGATTACGTAATCCTGAAAAGTTTCCATTGTGTATGATCATTGTTGTTCAGAATAGTGCTTCATATTATATATATATATATATATAATTATTACTTCGTGCATATATTGATTGATTTTTCACACATTTATTCCCCTTAAACAATTTGAATAAAGCAAGAACAACAACAGTGGTTTTGCAAAAAAAAGTGGTACCATCATTGTTTATTCCGTTGCCTTCTTATCAGCTGCTTACAGGCCACAGTCATTGTTAAGTATATCTACAGAAACAATTTTAAAATACTTGCACAGAGTTCATTTTTGAACAAAAATCAACCGATCAATATATGCATACAGTAATTATATATATATATATATATATATATATATATATATATATATATATAATATTAAACACTATTTCAAACAGTAATGATCATACACAATAAGAACTTTTGACATTACGCATTCAGATGAAAGAGAGATGAAAATATTCAGTTACCAGACATGGCAAAGGAAGACTGGTAACTGTTTCTTTCTGAACCCACAAATAAGGTTTCAGGCGCTTGATAGAAATAGCTTCAGCAAACTTGGGGAAAATTGAACTCTTTTGCCTATTGATAATTTTGAACGACTTTTCGACGTCCACCTCATGCATGACCCGTGTCAAGAAGATGCCTGGCGATGGCACTGTTTAAAGTATTTGTTCCCTTTAAACATAAGCTTTTTGGTACATGTTCAGAAAATCGTAGATATGCCCTTCTTCTTCCTGTCCTTCCAATGTAACTGCTCCCGCAGATTGATTTTTGTTTAAAAACATGAACTCTCTGTGCAAGTATGTTTGAATTGTTTCTGTAGATATACTTAATAAGGTATGACTTAAGCGTGTAAGCAGCTGATGAGAAGGCAACGAAATCATCAACAATGATGGTACCATTTATTTTATTCTGCAAAAACCACTGTTGTTGTTGTTCTTGCTTTATTCAGATGAAAGAATACAAACTGTATAGATGTAAACAGTGGTTTGATCAAGGAAAAATATATACTTTTTGGCTTCCGTGTCTTGCCTTCTGTTGTGACACATTCACTCCTTCTCTGTTAAAAAAAGAGTGTAGCAACAACTGGAACTGTTGTACTTCAGTGCAAAGTACTATACACTGAAAGCAGTTAGTCAGTCAGTCAGCATAAAAGACACTCGTGTAGACAAACAAAGCAAGGGAGGAGAAAAGAAAAGAAGATTTTGCTCACAAATAATCTTTATTTTGATGTGTGTGTATGTGTATAAGTGTGTGCATGCATGCATGCGTGTGTATGTGTGCTCATCATAACAATACACCTAGTTGAGTTACATAGATATGCATTTTAAGTTTCCTCAAATCGATTTATTTACGCATAATATGGTTGTTTTTTAAAGTTCACATTCGACAAATAAGCCATAAAATATTTCTATATAAAATCAAAAATAAAAGAAACGAGGAACAGAACAGTATATGGGGATAGAATATAAAGAATGTTGAGTACCACTCACTTCAAGGAGCTCAGAAAACAAAAAAACAACAACAACACCAACAACACAAATTTATAAGAAAAGATCATAAAAAAAACACGAATAAATAAACATAGGAATAAACGATGAGACGTGTTTAAACAAACAAACAAACAAACCCAGTTAAAATTCAAATATATATATAAAAAAAAGAAATCATGAAGTGTGACGACTCTTCAACTGTTGCACTTTTCCTTTTTTTAGACTCAATATTAGTTAGTCACTAGACTGAATGGATGGATGCGTGGGAGGTGTTGTTGTTGTTGGTGGTGGTGATTGGACTGGATAAAGAAAGAGAACCAGAAACCTCTTCACAACTGTTGTTCTTAAGCCGACGACAGTAGTCTCATCTAAAAAAAACTGGTTGAATATTTCTCTTGGACGATCCAGTTAAAAGGTAAAAACAGCGGGTGGGGGACAGAAGACGCCGTATCAAGTTAAATTCTCGAAAGAAAATAAAAAATACAATCACGACACAGTGATAAAACAAAAAATAAAACAACGGGGAGAAAAATCGAGGTAAAATGAAGAAAAACAATTGTACAATCATTTAAAAAACCAAAAATATTTTTAAAAATACGAATAACAATCATTGTAAGGTAAAGTGAACAAATATGAAGTTTTGTTTATCTGTTAAGCTGTTTTATCGAGTTATCAAAAAAACATATTATTGCTTTATAGCACATTAAAGAACATAGAGGTGTTGCGGGGTAAATAAAATTAAAAGAAACAACTCCAGTAATGGGGTGAGGGTTGGTTCGCAAGGGATAAAATGGACATTGAACCATAATAATAATAATAAAAGACTTAAAATTTTCTTTTTTTGGAATATTCGACTTTATACAATACAATCTGAGGTGACTACACTCATATGCCTACTACTCATATACTACTACTCACTCAACTGTTGCTATGGCTACTTATAATCCGGCTTAGAAAAATAAAATCACAGATTATTAAATTTGTTGTTATAATTATCATCATCATTATCATCATCATCTGAAGTAATAAGAGAGATAAAAAAAAATGAAGTCAAAAATCAAATCAAGTCAAATTAAAATAAAATACATATTACTACTGATAAAACAATTTAAGTAGTAGTACTGGTAGTAGTTGTAGTTCAATATATATATATATATATATATATATATATATATATATATATATATACATATATATATATATATATATATATATTATTGATTACACCAATTAAAAGAGGTCACATAGACGGAACACAGTATGCTCATCATCATCATCATCATCATCATCATTGTGGAGAGTTCTGTGGTTGCTGTTGCTGTTGTTGAACAGGGAACATAAGACGCTTGGAACGCATATAATTAATGATTGGTAAACGTTTCAGTGTGGAACGAACCGTGTCACTCAGTTTGGAACGTTTATTTCCCATCTCTAAGAGTTTTAAATCTGCTACCAACGGAGGAGGAGGCGGTTGACAATTGGTTGGTGGAGGAATAGTATAGGCTGACAGTTCAGCTTCTAAATCTAAAAAAGAAAAGGAACATAAGATACGACAGTTCTTATTGTAAAATTTTATCAAAACGGTGTTTAACAAAAAACCAACAATCAATAAATTACTGTTGTACAAAAGGTATGCCCACGATATTTTTGCAGTGCTGTCTAGAGAGATTCTAGTTAGTCCGTTTGGTCAGAGGTCAATTATGCAGTGTACTGGGGGCTGGCTATAAAAATAAAGCCACACTTATTGCTTGGCGGCTAGTGATACTACACAGTCGACCAAGCGGGACTCGAATCAGGAAACCATAGACTGAAAGTCAAGTGTTTAAGCCAGCGTGCCACACGTCCACTTTACAAGAATTTAGCAATTGGAACTGTAAAATGAATCAAAGATTTCATTTCTGGTTGTAAAATTGACAAGAGATGATGGGACTTTGAATAGATCTACCTCTACAGGAAACCATTAAGAGGAATGTCTGACCGTATAATGAAGGCACATACATCAACTTGAGCCACCTCTGGTGCCATCGCGAAGTTAGTCTGGCTGTCAAAGGTCAGGTATACAATGCTCCGGTGTGGTCTGTCTTGTTGTACGCCTGTGAAACCTGGCCTCTGCGTGTTTGATCATCGCTGTCTCCGCAGGACTGCTTGCGTTCGATGGCATAATCGCGTGAGTAATTCTGAGGTTCGGTGGCATGTGTTTGAACACAGTGGAGATCACCATTCATTGAGTGTCGTCATCTGGAAACACCGGCTCCGGTGGCTTGGACATGTGCTGCGAATGTCATCCAAGAGGCTTCCGTACAGGTCTCTGTTCGCTATCCCTGGGACGGTATAGAAAAGGTGGAGAGGTAGTCAGTCCGTGACATGGCGTCGTGGGATGAAAGATGTTTGCGCTACATTAGCATCGGTTGGTGCCTCACAACTCCCTGGTTGGGGTCCGCGAGATAGCCCCAATCGATGGCTCGAAACGTTATCGGATATGGCCAAGAATCGTAATCAATGGCGAACGTGTTGCAATTTCCTTCTTTCTTCCCTTCCTGATGACAGTTGACGAATACTGTTTGAACTTGTCAAGTATGACTGTTTTCCTTCCAGATGCAGTTCTTTATCCGTTCTCTACTTATATTTTTTTACTTTTAATCTATGTTGTTTCATTATTATTGTGTGGCGCATCTTTCTTGGTGCCATATTGTACCAAGTTTTTTCTGCGTTTAAATAAATAAATAATAAGATCCCTGACAGGCTTTCAGGAAGAGAACATGAAATTAAAGCTAAAAAGAGAAGAATGCAGTTCAATACCAAAGAAAATACTGTATAACATCCTCGACTTCAGAGGAGACTTCGCGATAGATATCCTTAAGGACGAGAATGTCCAGTTCCTGGAGACCTGAAGACCTTTCCTGAAACAAAGCCAACATCGATATTCTCGAAGAGATGTGAAAGACAAACTCTTGCATGTGTATATATGTCAGTTCACTTACTCCTATGCAGATAAGTACATAGATCGTTCTAGGCTGGTCCTGTCATATTACAGAACACTAGTCAGCATAGCTGCAAAGACACGGTACTGGTTCAATCAGAAGCACTCAAAAATTAAACGCTTAGTCAGCACTTATCATAGCATCTCAACTGATTACTCACCACCCATCATTCAGAGTCATTTACTAAAGTAAACGAAAATCTGCTAAAAAAAGGCAGTGTGTTTCCCGACTTCTGTATACTGTAGCACCCTCCTTGTCGAGAAATAGGAGGTATGTGTTTTCGAAAGAGGCTAGTTCAACCGCTACATTTACTATGGATCTAATTCTGTCTAACTTATTGGTTTTTGTTTACCTGTTGTTTCATTCCCTTCATTTCTTTTCCACCTTCAGTCATAAAAACGATTTGTTTCCATGCGCATACTGACTAAGTTTCAACTGGACAGCTGTTACACCCTTGTTTGTGACTCTACAGCAGTGTACGTATATCACCAGCGACCGTACTAAATAGTAAACTGGCACAGATTGGAATTGGTGGACCATTGGATAGTATACAGGTTCACCTTGTAACTTGAAGTTCATCACTTCAATTCCTATTGTGACTGGGGTGCGCACTGTTGAAGAGTCGCAAACAAGGACAAAGAAGCTGTTCAACACTAGCCGACTTGCAATGATTCGCCAACTTGAAGTCAACTAGTAAGATCAAAGCTGATGCTAAAGATTTCACCAACTCGCCAGTCGAGGAAGTCGATGGTGGATCAGCATGAGCAACAACACACGTGTGCTAGTCGCCTCAATCAATTCATCCATCTTCAAAACCGAGTCGATTGACTTCCCTGTCTGCCTATCTGTTTTCGACGTAGAACTTTGCACCGATGTGCATCAGTTCAAGTCGCCACACTCCCTCCTTGTAGCACACAAAGCAAGAGAAGAAAGTAAAAAGGAAACGCAAAATTATTATTATTATTATTGTTCCCTTGGGTTCCTAGTGGGACATAGGGCTTAAACTGCACGTCTCCACTTGCTTCTGTCTTCTGCTGTACTTTTCACCTGCATCCATGTTAATCCATACTGTTTCCGCTCCTCTTCACACGATCTCCTCCATGTCACCCTTGCACTGACGTCCCACTCGCCGCTTCCCTTTTGGGTTCCACTCGAGCAGTGGCCTGACGCGCGATGTCACCCAGCGGCCTCCTCAGCCTCGAGTGTCCAATCCATCTCTACTTTCTCCTGCATATTTTTTGAGCGATTGGTTCTTGTTTTGTTTCTTACCATAGTTTCTTGTTGGTGATTCTTTCCGGCGGCCATCTGATCTTCAGTAGTATAGAGCGAAGAGAGTTGTTGATAAAGGTCTGCAACAGGCTGTTGGAAATATTCTTTGTGACACACTGGCCAAGTTTCTGATCCGTATAGAAGAACTGACTGACTTGACGTTTGTATTGAAAATCCGAATTTTGTTGTTGATGCTGAGTGACGAAGATTTCCAGATTGGTTTCAGGTTGATGAATGTGTTTCTCGATTTGACATCCTCGTCCGTTCCTCCTGTAGTTGACACAATGCTCCCTAGATCAGTGAAGTGAATGAAGTAACCTCTTTCAAATCGCTTCCGTTGATGGTGATTGGCGGTGGATGTTTTTGTTGATGTTGCTGTTGTTGTTGGTTGGTTATTTTCATAACCTCCGTCTTGTCTATGTTCACCTGGAGTCCTGTCTTCTCTGGCTGCTTCTTCGACCAGTTCGTCGGTTTTTGCTTGTAAGACTTCGATTTTGTGACATCAAACATAAATCATCCGCGAAATTCAGGTCTTCTAGACTCTTCACGTCCGTCCAGGATATCCCTGTTTTCTCGTTTCCCACTGTCTGACGCATAATCCAGTCCATCACAATTAGGAATATCATTGGTGATAATAAGCACCCTTGTCTGACCCCTGTGTTAACTGCAAACGCCTCACTGAATTTTCCTTTGTGGATCACTTGACATGTGCCGTTGTCGTACAGCTGTTGAATAAGGTTGATGAATATTTGGGGTACACCGTAGTACTCAAGTAGTTTCCAAATCACTTCGCGGTCAACGCTGTCGACGGCCTTCTCAAAGTCTATAAAAGAAGTTGAGGTAGAGATTTGATTGCCATTCCATGCTTTGTTCGATGATAATGCGCAGAGTTGCAATTTGGTCAGAACATGATTTGCCTTTCCTGAATCCAGCTTGTTCTGGTCGGAGTTCTGTATCCAGTGCGTCCTTTATTCTCTTCAGGATGATGCGACTCAGAATTTTACTTGGTGTTAACAGGAGCATGATTCCTCGCCAGTTCTTGCAGAGTCCTAGGTCGCCCTTCTTTGGTAGTTTCACTAGGTAACCTTTCCTCCAGTCAGTAGGCACTTTTCCCTCTTTCCAGATCTTTTGCAATAATGGAAACGCAAAATAGAGACAGTAAACAGAGATATGAGGCAAAAAGAATAGTAATAACGAAGAACAATATAGTTTCATAGGAAGTTATAAGTCACAAGGAGTGGATGCATCTCCACCAGGCATTGAGGACGATTTTGAGCCATGTCACCAATTGTCTCCAGCCTTCATTGGCTTTTACCGTCCTGAAGACCCCAACCAGTCAAGAAGTCTACACCTTCCTACGTGACTGGCTGGTTGTGGATTTCATTGACTGGTGCCATGTTTTGATTTGACCACCACTGGCTCATCTAACATTGCCCGTCGAGGAAGGCAATGGCTAGGGGATGCATGCGTAACACATGTCCTAACCATCTCAGTCGATGTAGTTTCAAAGCCTCGTCAATTGATTTCCCCTCGTTACCTAGCACTCGACCGAAGCATAAAATCAATTTCGCTCACTGTATGACACCACCACCTAACACGGCAGATAGAACGCAGGCACTTATGATCAAAGACAGCTAGCTAGACTTTCCATATCTTCAACTTTTATTGACCATATCGCATAGGCATAGAGAAGGACAGAGTGAACTTCTGCTCAATCGACACACACGTACTTTGATCGATATAGAGAACAAACAAATCAGTACTACTTATACACTCCATCACACACACAGGCAAACACAAACACACACACACGCCAAGGATAAATATAATAACAGAAGATTAAAGTGTGGCTATAAAATGTTACCTGATAACTTTAAGTGTTTATTGTCATCACTACCTCGTTCACCTCCGTTGGATGGACTCCTTGAATTCTGTTGACTTTCTCGTGTTTCAAAAAAGTCTAAATCCAGATATTCAGTTATTTTACCTTAATATATAAATAATATAAGACAATGGAGAAATAAATTGTACAATAAGACAAAAAACTGTACAGACAATGAACTGCAGTAAAAACTGGAAACAAAGAAGCCAGAAATCGGATGGTTGGAACACTGATTCATCCCATCCCGACCGATAACTGCTACCTTGCCGTGGTGGTCGGGCTTGAATGCCGCAGTGACCCAACAAGCTAAACTGGCTGGGACTCATGTCCCTACAGGTCCTACCATGTCAGGAAGGTTGTTTGGATAGCGGTTAGACTAAAAGCAGTTACCATGGGGTACATGAGCTCCAGAATTCAATCGGATCAAATGGCGTATGAACCCACCGGCAACCATGGGAACGCAGCTCCTGACGCTGCTCCACTGCCTTGCGGATTAGACTCCAAGTCAAAGGCACGGGTGGTGGTCCCTTAGGAAAACCACCTGCTTCGGTCTGGGCGCCCGGCCAGTATCTCAGTCCTCACACAATATTGTGTGGCGCATCTTTCTTGGTGCCATATTGTACCAAGTTTTTCTGCGTTTAAATAAATAAATATAATAATAAATAAGATTCATCCCATCGAGTTGAGTCAAACACCCAGCTACACCTCTGATGAGCTCGACACCGAAAGATCGAAACAACCACATCTGATGTGTCTAGATCACTTTGATCTGACCTGGCTAGCAGGCACTAGTACTGTGGTAAGAGCTGTCTACTAGCCAAATTGGTAGACAGTAATTTAGGTCAATGTTTACGTTCTCAAGATTTGTCGTGAAAAAATATGAACAAAGACTGATTCAAACCGACCACAACAGACTTTGCGTGGGCGGATACAGTTAATATATAGATGATCTGTTGCTTGGCCCTTGTCTTCTGTTGTTACACTACTACTACTACTGGTTGGTGTGAGTAGCATTACATAGAACTACCCATCTCAATCAATCAGTAGTCTGTGAGTTCACACGACGAAACATTGAGTAGATACTCACTCACTCAGTTGTTTTATCTAGTCTAGTTGTTATTGTTTTTATTCCTTCACGTTCCCAGTGGTGGAACATAGAGCTTCAAGCTAGAAGCTTGAAGTTTTTGTAGCAGTGTTTATTTTTTACAGGATGGGGTTGCTGCTGGCCTCATACCCAATCTTTTCCACTCTACCAGTTCTATTTCTGACTTAGCGAGGTAAAGGAGTGCGTCCAGTGGCCGGGGATCGAACCCCGGACCACATGAAGCGCGGTTGGCAAGCGTCGTAACCGCTGTGCCACCGACGCATAATAGAGAAGATTTGTAGCTCAGGTGGATAATTTGCAGTTAGTAGTATTCTCTGAGCTGGTTGGCGATTTAATTGCGGAGCTTTCGTCCCCCCCCCATCGAGACAACATCCCCTTCGGCGCAATTTTCAGCATAAAGTGAACTGATCAATATTTTTTAATGAATGATAGAATTGTGTCACCTGGTAACCATCTTCATGACTGGTAGTCGATTTACATCTGTGTATTGATCATTTTTTATTGACTTGGTACTCAAACGAATCAGCTAGCGGTTAACAAAACGTGATAATATAGACCAAATTTACAGATGCTAATAAAAAGTAAATCATGTGACGAGAAAGTTCAAAATCCAAATCAATAAAAAATGATCAATACAGATGTAAATCGACTACCAGTCACGAAAATGGTTACCAGAATACACAATTCTATCATCCATGAAGAACTCAGATGAGCTGATTTTAGGCTAAAAATTGCGCTGAAGATATTGTCCAGAAGGACAACGAAAGCTCCACAATTAAATCGCCAACCAGCAGTGTTTATTTTTTACAGGATGGGGTTGCTAGCCTCATGTCAAACCTTTCCCCTTCACCAGCATTATTTCTGGCTTAGCGAGGTAAAGGAGTGCGTCGGCAGGGGATCGAACCCCGGACCATATGCATGGTCGGCGAGCGTCCTAACCACTATGTCACCGACGCACCGTCACACTAGTTACTAGTGCCTAATCAAGATTTTAAGTTAAATCATAAAACTGACACCAGTTAGACGATCAATTAAAAAATTGGAGAGTGCCCGATAGATTTATCGATCTAGTTTCGAACTCTTCAAGCAGTACACAATACTGAAAGAGCAGACGCGAACACGTCTGTCGCCTACACAACTGAACTTCCGGACAGACAGGCAGCTAGAAAACCCTGATTCCAAACTTATCTATGGTGCATATAATAACCTCTAGAGAATCTGAAAGGATCATCAAACGGCGTAAGAACACACTTCAGTCACCAGAAACAATAGGAACGTAGTTCCTGACGACGCTGCTCCACGGACTTTTGGATCAGAATTCAAGTCAAAGGCTCGAGGGGCGGGGTGGTCCTCTAAGACAACCCCACCATCTGCTTTTGTGTCTGGGCGTCCAGACAGTCTTCCGACCCTCGTACAAACACTATAAGATTGTGTGTGGAGCATCTCTTGGTGTTCAAAATGTACCAAGTGTGCGTTTCAACAATAATAACAAAAATATATTTAATTGGTGGATGGTGACTAGCAGTGGAATCCAGGATAATGCACATTTCGTCCTATTTGGGACTCGTCAGCTGGATGTGCTTGCATTACACAGCGAGTGATGTTCGAACCAACTGCCCATAATTTCAAATGCCAAAGCGTTATCCACTAGACCACTTGGGCATCGAGAGCCACCTCTCCCTTGTGCAGTGGGTCATATTAATTATTTAATTGAATTTTAGATTTTCCTGTCGATTGATTGGACTGAAGTGCTGGGTGGGAATATCATCACTCACTGCGGAATGCAGGTACATCCAACGGATGACGAGCCCTAAATAGGACGAAATGCGCTTTATCATGGATTATTCCACTGCTAGTCACCATCCACCAATTAACTTCTAATTGCATGCCTAGACATCGTCGAAGCATCTGCACAAGAAGCCAACAGACATGTCAACCTGAGATCGAGCACTTCGGTCGAATCAATCGACGGGAAAATCTAAAATTGAATTAAAATATATATATATATTTATCCTACATCGAAGAGTGAAATTAACGTTTCAAAAATGACATCACTGAGCACCCGTATGACCATCTTTTTTATTGCTTTACGTCCCACCAAGTGGTGGAACATAGGAGGCTTCAAGATAGAGGTTGGAAGTTTTTGTAGCAGTGGTGTTTATTTTTACGGGATGGGGTTACTGCTGGCCTCATACCCAACCTTGCCTCCAAAGCCTCAGGATGGTCGAGGGTGGGTGCCTTGCGCACACCTCTTAAAATGCTCCCATATGACCGGGCGTCTCCTGAGGAAGTCCTACTCACTGCCTTCACGTGGCGGAGGTGTTTTTTTCCACCAAAGTGAGAGGGCGAAAGCGGATGCCCGGCGCTCTTCACCGGGTTGACTGTCCATTGGATGACAGTCTAGGGGAGATGGCTAAACCCTGATTCCAAACCTCCAACGACTGGCGTATGAAGCTCACTGGAGCTCACCGGCAGACGTATGGACAAAGGGCTTGTTGGATGTCCTGGATGTCTGGCCCTATTCAAAAAGGCGTATGAACCGAACTCCGGTCACCGACTGCCAATGGATAGTGGACTCCCTACTCCACTCCTACTGCCTTGTAGGTCACACTTGGTTGTGTAAAGGCCGAGCGATTCTGGGGACATCACTCGTACCAAATCCCTATGAAACTTCATGAACTCTCTTACAAACGTCAGATCGCAGCGCCTGGGCAGCAATGATTCGAGATGTTCATGAAGCCGGCTCATCCTCCCGTAGGAGATAGCCGAAGTAAAGTAAAAAAAAAGTAAGTCATACCCAACCTTCCCCTTTACTAATCTTATTACTCGCCTAGCAAGGCGAAGAAGGAGTGTGTCCGTTAGCCGGGGATCGAATCCCGAACCACATGGGGCGTGGTTGGCGAGTATTCTACCGCTGTGCCACCGACACACATTGCATAAAACCATTGTATGTTGTATTAAATAATTTTTTCATTATTCTTACCATTGCTATTGTCATTATTGTTCTTGTACACTTGATCATTGTCAGCTTTGAAGTTCAATGACTTCGCAGTATTATTATTATTAGCTGATAAAACTGAATGTTGCTCATTGTTTCCCTGAGTATGACAGCCACCATTTGTAAGTGTATTCTTGCTCAAATAATTTTGACTAGTCAATCGAACAGGTTCAAGTAGACGTAGTTGACTGGCAAAGGCTGGAATCTGTAAAACAAAAGAAAAGCAATCACAATTAATAAACAATTATAACATCAACCTGTCAATGCTATTTATTTAAAAAAATATAAAAGCAAGCGTCTTGTATCCCTACCACCCTTGGTACTTGACCTGTCGGTGGCACAGCGGTTGAGTGCTCACCGACCATGCAGGTGGCACGGGGTTCGATCCCCGGCCAACGGACGCACTCCTTTCCCGACCGATAGCTGATACCTTGACGTGGTGGTCGCGGTTTGCACATCGCAATGACCCAACAAGCTACACTGGTTGGAATTGTTGTTCCTGCAGGTCTTACCATTCCAGGAAGGTTGTTAGGATAGCGATTTGACTAAAAGCAGTTACCGGCATACTGTAAGAAATTTTTTTCGCACTATGCTGAGATTCTGTGGGCGAAGTCGTACGGCTGGGGAATAGGGATGTAACAACAGTGAGGTGTTTCCCTCAGGTGACCAGCATGCCGGCCAGCTACGCTATCTCTTCACTCTGGGGAGAGGGGGTTAGAAAAGGTCGACCTCAACAATTGTACATCCCGACTTACCCTACGGTGGTCCGTAACCGGCGGTAAGTTTACTGATACGGAACCAAACCAAGAAACCAGTTCATACAGGCCGTGTGTGACCGGCGTCAAGCAGTTTTCCCCTGGCTATGCGGTCACGCAACACTAAATCTCTTTCTGTTTCAGGTACTCGAAGAATCAATCAACTTCCACGGTGTGAGCAGTCGGGAAGTAACAACCGCCCACACACTTCCAAGAGCACACGAAGCACCCCCCCATTTTTCTGAATAAATCAGCCAAATAATAGTTAAAACAGGAATGATGACAAGACGGCATTTATCGATCAGTAGCATTGATAGATGTCAAACACTGTGCTAAATCGTTGTACTACTACTACTACTACCCTGTTTGCCTCTGTGAGCCAGTTTATAAGAGTTAGGCGTCAAAGGAAAGAATTATTCTTGAAAATAGAATACACTATTTCAACGAAATTACTCCTTCCCCCCGACCTCCTTGCTCAATGGAATGTCGCATAATCTTCAGTAGCACCTAAAAACACAATTTACGCTTAGTTAGTTAACTCTGACAGTTAGTGAATTGTCTATTTTTAGATTTTCCAACAACAAAAAAAAATCATTTAAAAGTCCACCACAAAGTTAGAGCTATATGCTCAGAAAAAAGTATTTGAAGATGAATTGAGCACTGTATATGATACTTTGATCGAAAATAGCTAGCTATCCCGACAAATTTATCAAGAAACACATGACAAAGAAAGCGGCAGAAAAGGACTACTCACTATCTGTAAACAAGAAGCCTTTATATATACGACTGCAATTCAAGGGTAAGTACAAAGAAATTGAGAAATCCAGTTCAAAGAACATTTTAATGCTGACGAACTACACGTCTTAATCTCTACACGACCGATGGTGATTCCTCGACTGAAAGATGAAGTACCTACACTAGCTAGTCAATTCAAATTGTATCTACCAATTCAACTGCGCTGACGATGGAGCGAGTTATATTGGCCATTGCTCTAGGAACTTGATTTTTCGTGCTCTCTCGAGAACATCTCCCAGTATGGCTAAGTAAAGGTGTAGTGAAAACCATCAACAGTTCGATATTGGACCATCTGGTCTAAACCAACCACGAAGCCAGCCAGCGTGGAAGAACCCTTCTCTATCATCTACCGGGTGCTAAATAAATTGCCAAAATCATCGAAGCACCGCATGCTCCAAACAGCAGAGGTTATTGCAATTCGCCTCAAACAACCGGTGCTCCGTCTGTAAAAGAAACAAGTCCAGCCATTACTACTGCCCTGACCGGCCTTCAGTAGAGACTATAAATTCATGAATTTGTAATATTGTCTTTCCTAATTTTTCTAACATTCAGTTTATTGTTATGTTGATGCTATTGAGCTGTAATCTATCAATATTATTGATTCGATGTTATTTAAACAACATTAATGTTGTTCATAACACTAATTCATTCATTCATTCATTGTAATGTGTATATAACTGTAGAGCCTGATGATGAAGGCGTTATCGAAAAGAGTACTCTTTGTTCAATATCCATTCTTTTAAAACGAGAATATTTGTAGATACACGGACAGACATACACGTGACTTTTAAGAATTTATTGATTATTTCATCAAAAAAGTACATTGTATAATCATCATCATCATCATTACATAGTCTGCAGTTATACTACTTGCATATACAACTGAAACCTACTATTGCTAAGGCTAACACCTTTAAAAAAACAGGTGAAGCTAACACACCAATGATATTCAACAGTCGAGAGGATTGAGTTGACAGAACAAATTCTGAAGACTGAAGAGTGATCAAAATTGAAATCTACGATATGTATTTCATCCTATTTGAAGCTTGCCAGAAGGAGTTATTTGCATGCCTAGTGACTGATGGTGTTACCAGTGACACTCAAACTCAGCAACACCATTACTTTAAAACGCCAAACTATCCTTACTGGGCGCCAGTGGATGAAAAATGGACAAAGTTAAAGTACCACGATCCAGGAATCAGAACGCATATCAATGACCAAGGAACGTGTAGTGCACCTTGAATGTTTGAACATTTGTTTTAACGCATTCATGTATTTATGGAGCCACGCCATCTTTATTCTTCTGCCGTGACTGACTGCTCGCATGTGGCTCCCTCTCTCCCTCCCTCGTTGTGCTATCATTAAGCGCACTCTTCCAGATTGCTACCCCAGCCAGTTAACAACAAATAAGTTGTACAACATCATCAGGGCACACTACCAAGTCACAAGCCTTTTTACTTCGAGTTCGTTAATCGGTACTTAGGTAGAGTACTGATTAGGGTTAACTGAGGAAGGCAAGTTTAGTAGGTGCTGACGTTGAGACCCATCGAAAAGGCACTTACAATTGAGGACAACTACCTACGTGTATGCACTGATGAATAAAGTCCAGGTAGAAGGCTTATGCACTGTTGTGTTTCCTGATATGAATTATATTTATATAACAAGTGAAAAACCAAAACTAATACACTGTAATATTGTAGAACTTATCTGTCGACAGGTTGAGGTGGCAAGCTCGACGAGTGCGCTTAATGATAGCACAACGAGAGAGAGAGAGCGGGGGAGCCACATGCGAGCAGTCACACCGGAAGAACAAAGATGGCGTGGCGCCATAAATACATGAATGCGTTAAAACAAAAGTTCAAACATTCAAGGTGTACGCACTACAAACGTATACCAGTCGTTGGATAACAGCAACTACATTATTATAACGCTACTATGAACACTATTCACTAAGTGAGGTGTAAATTTCATCCGGATGTTGTTTTTAAGTACTGTTTAGACATATGAGTTGGTACCATGTAGCCATAAGAGTTCTTATAATGCTTCTATGTACCATTGAGTAGTGTTCAGAAGCAGGTGATGGTAATGGTGACACACTCAATTCCTTCTCTTTAGAAATTTTCTTTTCTAAGTAGAATCTGTGGCTAACAATTAGGTGTGTTTCTCGTCGAATTTCCGAACATCACCCTGCATATTGGTTGGTTAAGTAAAGGACAAACAAAATCTATTCACATAGCGCTATTCTATTTCATCTTGTGGATACACAGAACACAAGATTGATGTCAACGAGGCAGCTTTCAAAGTCATTTACTGCATACCAACAAATCTTAATTTCGCCTTAAGAGTTCGTTTACTAAATATTGCTGAGACTGGCTGTTGGGATCCACATTAAGAAGCCGAATTTGTTAGTCAGAAAGAAGTCAGTTCAGAAATTACCCTTACCTAGGCCATCTAGGTTTGAATGATCCTTAATATTTGTGGAATTTTCCATAATTTTAGTTGATATTCTATTTGCTACTATATCTTTATTATTATTTAAGCATCTTTGATGAACTGTAATTCCATTGTGATCTTACTTTACAAATCGATATTATTTAAAAAACACCATTACTGTTATTGACTACTACTCTAGAATATTCTATGTATATAAACATATGTATATATAATTGTAGAGCCAGAGGAGGAGAAAATTATGGAAAAAGGAGATTCTTCGCTCAGGTATTTTGTTTTTATAATTAATAGGAGATGAAAAGTATATTGATACGAAAGACTCGAGTGAGATCAGCGGCTGTACAGATGGAAAGTCCCTTAGTAACTACTGTGCAATGGGTTCCACCATTCCTTCTTACACATAGCGCTGTGCAAGATAAATACACTGTCACGCAGCTGACTGACTGACTGACTGGTTTCAATGTAGAACTTTGCACCAGTGTGCAGCAGTTCAAGTCGACACACTCCCTCCATGTAGCACACAGAGCAAGAGAAGAAAGTAAAAAGAAATGCATAATAGAGACAGTAAACAGAGATATGAAGCAAAAGGAATAGTAATATCGAAGATCGATATAGTTTCATTGGGTGTTATAGGTCACGAGGAGTGGATGCATCTGCGCCAGTCACTGAGAACGATTTTGAGCCATATCACCGATTGTCTCCGGCCGTCATTGGTTTTTACCGTCCCGAGGACTCCAACCAGTCAAGAAGTCTACACCTTCCTACGTGGCTGGCTGGCTTAAACTAACTGTTGTGGATTTCATTGACTGATGAAGCCATGTTTTGGTTTGACCACCACCATTGGCTCTTTTCCAAACTGACCCTATGTCAACTAACATAGCTATCACACAGCTATTATGAGGAGGTGGTGTTATTGTTCGTATCGACAGAACAGTCCTCATTAACGAAATATAAAAGTGATCTACCTAGAGCAAACAACATTTGGATATCACGAATTTACGACATGAAACCTCGGAAAAGAATTCTAGAAATCATTTCAAATCGTAGTGCCGGCGCTCCTCTACCAATTATACAACATTTAGTCACTCCTGGCACTACCATTCATGCTGACGAATGAGTGGGATACGATCCCCTATCAGACTTCGGATTTATCCATCATCATCGAGTGCATCATTCTGATGATTTCGTTGACCCCTTTACTGGT